ATATCACTAATGATTACCGTATATTCAACTCCAAGTTTTAAGAATTTGTCTAAACATTTAACTTAATATTGATTGTGATAACAGAGTCGACTGTAAATCTCGAAAAATAGACAAAAAGTTTGCAAATATTTAAATAATCTCTATTAATATTATAATTGTGAAAACAACTTTAATGTCGAAATGTTTATAAACATATTTATTATTAAGAAATAATTCGTTTATGGTTTTGTATAGTATATGTAAACCGGTATGAATTGGAAATCGATATTTAATTAATGTTAAATATAAATGACTAATTGTATGGTTTTGTTTTTGGGGGCAGACAAATGAATATGTAAATTATATTTCCAATGACAATGTTTGACAGCATTAATATAATGTACTCTTAAAATATGAACAATTATTATACAATTAATTTATAGTTAAAAATTCAAATCTCGTCGTAAAATAATAAAAAAGAGGAAAATATATTCTTAAAAATTATAATAAAAATATAGAAAAACTAATTTTTAGAGTCAAATTCAATATTACTGTATATATATACTAATCACTAATATTTGTGGAGATTCTCTAAAAATTTCAATTTATATATCGTATATATTTTTAAAATGAGAACAGAAACCAGTCATATATTTTACATCAGTTTTCATAGCTATTATATAATCCATACCTCTATTGTTATAAATACAACAAAACAATCGTTTTTTGGGCACTTTTTCCTAATTTATTACACATTTTGTTATGTATTTGTCTTATTGAGTATACTTTTTTGGCGTCGATTCAAAATCCATACATAAGTATTCATATATTCAAAATGTATAGCTGTTTAGCAAATCTCTATAATACCGTTTTGGGATCGATATCACAACAAGAATATCACTTCAAGACTTCCATTTGACAACAAGTGATGTGTGGAAAGTCTTTGACAAAAATAAAATATAAGATAAAAATTCGATAGCATTTGCTTTCAAAAGGGATTTATGTCTTGAAATGATTGTGTATATAATAATTAACTTAAAAAATCTGATCATCTATTCAAAATAAATATAAGGGTTTGTTCTCAACCGCTATCGATAGTCGACGAAAAGTGGATCCAATTCTCAGATATCTTTTGTCGAGTCCACGACCCGAAGTCAGGCCAGTGTTGGAATACAACCATACATACGATTAACACTATAATACTCGTCACCATTCGTAGTCTATATTCATTAACAAATCAATTATACAAACGTTAGAATTAATTATTAAATTCAGAGTATAATAAAAGGCAGACCTTGTCTGTAGAAACGGCGCTAATATGTTGGCAATGGTAGCGACCAATAGTAAGACAACCTTTAAATTAAATGTCAAAAGAGGTCTCAAATTAAATAATCCACGAATTAATTGCTTCACTGAAACGGGAAAAAGGGTTACAAACCTGAAGTATAGTGAGCACAACGTTAATGAGTTTGAGTACCAGTGCTCTGGCGTTTGAGTTTTCCAATGAGTCGAGATTAACGAGTTGTTGCAAGTGTTGGTGCTGTTGGTGTTCCATACGTGAGATCTATTTATACGGGTTTTCACAACAATTATATGCCATTAAAGTAATTATAAGACAAATAAAAAACAATTGAAAGCAATGTGATTGTGTGAGACACCAACCCTTGTTTGGCAACTTTCGAGCATTTCGTGCACATCCCGGAGCCTCTCTTCGCTCTGATACTGCACTTTCTCCTCCATATCCACCATATTTTGCTTCAGATTCTCGATTTCGTTTTGATGCAACTCTATTAAGTCGTTCAT